ATTTTCCCCCTGCCGTCCCCGCCCCCCTCCCTGCCCTCCCCCTTGCACTCTTTGCAATAGTCTCAGCTACAAGGACGATTGAAACTTTATAGTGCATGATTCATAGAGCGGAGCTGCACTCCGAGCCACGGTGCATATTACATTAATCAGTGTCAGGCCACTAAAACAGAGATATGAATATGAATTCTCCATATTGCAAGGGAGATGAATGTGCTCGCGAATAATTGATCAGCGCCCATGCAATCTGTGCGTGTGTGTGTGTGCGTGCGTATTTATACAGTGCGTGCGTGTATATGCGTGTGTCTTTATATATGTGTGTGTATTTCTATGGATATGGGCGTCTACATATGGATGGGTTTGTGGGTATTTCTATGTATATGTATATATATAGTGTGTGTGTGTCTGTAGATGTATGTATATGTACATGGATAAGTGTGTCTATCTATGGATATGTGTGTCTATCTATAGGTGTGTGTGTGCGTGGATATGTATATGACATAGATATGGATTTGTATGTCTATATATGGATATGTATATATGTGTGTGTGGTGTGCGTGTATATATATATGTGTGAGTGTGATATGGACACGTGCTTATATATGTATGGATATGGATATATGTGTCTAGATAGTAAAATGTCCACATATGTGCACAAATAATACGTGCTTGTGGATATGGATACGTGTCTGCGTGTATATATGTGTGGATATGTATGTGTGGATAGGGATATGGATACATGTTTGTGTGCGCATATTAATACGGATATGTGTGTGTATACGTATATGCATGGGTGTGGATATGAATGCGTGTATAGATACACGTATAAGTATATGTGTGTGCGTGTGCGCAGATGTGGACATGGATACGCAGACAAACAGGATCGCGGGAGGGAAGAGATGGGGGCGGGGGGCTGTGCCCGGCCCAGCGGGGCGGCAGCAGCACTCCGCAGTCTGCAGGCCGGGGCGGGTGAAAGTTTTGCAGCGAAACCGACTCCAGTAAAGAGAAACGCTGGAGATAACCGCAGCTCTGTGGAGGCCGGGGGCAACCGCCGCACGCTGCTGAATGTCTCTTCCTGGTTTCCCCGAAAGCCCGGCGTTAAGGGCAAGGTTTTGTTTTAGGGGGAGGGAGGAGGAGAGAAAGCCCCTCCGCGCCGGCCCGCAGGTATCCAGCCCGTCGGGGCAGGGCCTGTCTGGGGCCGGAGAGAGCTGCTGCAGAGGGCTGGCATCACCGTGCCAAGCGACTGGGAGGTGCTTTGTGCTGGGATGGTTTGGGAACCGCCCCGGGCTCCTGCAGCCCCCTCGAGGGGAGCCGCTGGCGCCAGGCTGAAAGACAGGAGAGGGCTCGGGCTTGTCGCACGTGTTGCTCCTTAACGGGACCGGGCAGAGATCCTGGGAAGAAGTGTGGGGGGGCAGGACTTTGCAGTTCATGGTGCCCCCAGCCGCCACCTGAGCCCTAACTCTGCCCCTCCAGCTACCGCAGGCCCGGAATATTCCCTGCCCCTGTCGCATTCTCCAGGACAAGCGCATCCCGGTTGAAAATCCCGCGCACGAAGCCAAAATCCCTCTGCCCCACAGGCTCCATCTGGCGTTCAGCCCGCGGGCTCCCCCGGCTGCAGCCCTGCCTCCGCAGATGCGGAGCCTGGGCCCGGCCGGGGCTCTGGGAGGGGCTGTGGGGAAGCGCAGAGCCGAGAACTGCCCTGGACGGGGGCAGAGCAGAGGGCGGTGGCCCCCCTGGTGCTGCCAGGGAGAAGCCCCGCACACTCCCCTGCAGCCCCCCGCCATTCACGTCTAGGAAGTCTAGCACTGTGCCCCGCGCCCCCTCCCCAGGCTCGGCTCTGCTCCGCCGCTCGGCTCAGGCGGCGGCGCCGGCGTGTGTCTGCCCACAGAGGGCGCCTCGAGCCTGGCCAAGGCGGCGGGACAGAGGCGAGAGGGGCTCGCGCAAGCTCCCGGCAATTAAAGCCCTTCTCGGGTGCAGAGGCAGCGAGCTAATAATCCCCCCTGCTCCTCCTCCCCAGCCAGTTTGACAGCACCTCGTTTGCTTCGCCCGGCGCTGCCCCCCGCACTGGGGTCTGCCAAGCAGAGGGTGCCCGTTCAGGGAAGGCAAGCGGGCGGCGGCAAGCGGGGCCGAGCCTGCTTTCCCCCGGGACGCCCGGCTGCAGGGCAGGCCAGAGCACGGCTGCAGCCGGGTTTAGACCCGCCGCAAGCACCGCCCGAGATCTCCGCTACAGATCTGCCCTCGGCTTTCTCCACTCCACTGCTGCCTCGCTTGTGTTTTTCTCTCCCCCCCCCTCCCCGCCCCCAGAAATAATCAAGCTGCGTTTTCTTTCGAACTGGAAAAAAAAAAAAGTTTAATCTTAGAAACGTGGGGTTTGGGGTCTTAAAACAAAAAAACATTGAAAGGTCGTAAGCGAAGAGCCTGCAGAGAGTGCAAAATGAACCTCTTCTCCGGGAAAAAAACCCAACAAACTCCGCACAACATACATTTGAAACACTTCAGCTACTCCGCGCCAGTTCTTCTTTTTGTTCCCCCCTCCCTCCTTTCTCAAGAATACGATTCCGTTTTAACAAACGCCGAATAAAAGGCAACCTTCACTTCTTTGGAAACAGATCTCTGAGCAACACTTGACATAAAAAAAAAAAACCGTCTTTGCATTCAGTGATATTGCGGCTAACTCCAGATCAATATTCTGAACCTTGATGGGAATGTATTAATATTTTATTTTGGACCAAAAAGAAAAAAAATCTCGCCTCTTTTCCCGACAAGTCCTGGGCTGGGGTTGGTTCAGTTTGGATGGGGCGTCACCACATTATTTCTTAATGACTTTCCCAGCTGCTTCTTTCCATTTTCCACCATCAGCAACCATCTGGTATCTTATTAGCACCTCAATGCTCATTTAGTGTTCTCATTTAGGAGGAAGAAAAAGAGGTAAACACTCCAAATATTACAAATTTTAACGGATTGTCCCTGGAAGATTAATGCCTTTATAAACTGGTGGCTTCTTTTCTCCCTCCCTCGCTTTTTACAACCCACAGCCAAGAATCTTGCAATCCACCCTCCACCCCCCTCAAAAAAAGTGCAATAGTTGATATTTCCTCCATTTTCTGCTAGATTTTTTTCTACTAAAGCTCAAAGGCGGGAGTCTTTCAAAAGTTACATTTCCCCTGCATTTGGGAGGGAGGAAACTTAAAAAATAAAATCCAAGTCCTACTCTATTATTTTCGACTTTGGCCAGAAATTTGACAAAACCACTATTTACTGGAGGCTCAATTCATGTACTGATTTGGAAACTGAGCTTATAGTTTTAGGGCAGTGAGAAAAAACTTCTGGCTTTCACTTTAAAAAAAATTATTGTATTAAATAGGAACTCAAATCACTTCTGAAAACGATTGAGACAGAGCATGTTATCTTCTGCTAACTGAGAGGATAATTCTCACTCAGCTAGCTACCAAGAAATTGCACTCAAATCTTTCTACTGCAATATTGTATGCAATACAACATTCGCAGCTGAGCTTGGAGAAAACCCCTCTCTCTCTAATACTAAAGCCAAAGCCTCAGTTTGGTATTTTGAGGTAAAATGACCTAAGGGTAGAAAATATCCTCAAATACTTAGGAAGGAAACAATAAACGTTTGAATAGATTTGAAATCTTAAGTTTAAATTCTGCCACAACAAAATACATACCTGAGGAGAGTTCATAATTTCATTTAGTTTATTAGACAAAAATATATGATTTAGACAAGTTTTGCTGACGCGCTATTTACAATCTGAAATCACTCTATATACAGAAAAAAAAAACCCAAAAAACCCCCCACAAACACATGGGAAACATTTACCAAACAAATAATCCAAGAATGGTTAGAATAACACGCTCTGAAATGGTACAAGGAAGAGGGGACTCCATCTACAGATTTGTGTAATCGCTTTTATGGATTTGCACCATCTTATTGCAAAAAGAGATTGATGGGAGTCGTTTATATCGTTTCCTTTTTTTTTTTTTTTTTTTTTTTTTC